GTTAAATAATAAATTAATTTATTAAAATGTTCATGACTTCGGGTTCGTTTATTTAATCACTTATAATGAATTTAGACGTATGTTAACTGTGTTTAGAGCATCATAAGTTCGTAATTGTCAAAATTTAACGCTCTGGAAATAAAGCTAGTTCGCAGTAGATTAATATTATTATTTAGATAGCGAGTAATTAATATCCACTATATTATTGTGTAAATGTGGTGATAAACTTTGAAATTTAGCATATATTTGTAGACATATACAATATGCATAGTTGCCTGCTCACGGTTTGTCTTTTAATGAGTCAAATACAAATAATTTAACTTCAACACATTTCCCTAAATATTATTTAATAACTTACTCAAAGAAATAAATTTGAACACATGTCACATAATCATGCAATAATTTAGTCATATACTAATACTCACTGAAATAAAATAGATTTAACCATAAAGCTTATTTTTCCTTATCGATCGTGAGCAATTACTCCATTATTACAATTAGTCAAATCTTTCAGTACTTAAAGAAAAATATTTGAAACTATATAAAATACGGGATTTAACACATTTTCGTCTATAGTGTGCGATCGTTATTTAAAATTGTATAATTTACTTGCTCGTAAAAATTGTAGACAATATTTTAACAGTTGTAAAAATTAAACTACATATGTGGTTTTTATAAAAGTGTTAGTTTATAACCAAAACGTATATTTAAAAACGTTATGCATTTCCTCGTTAATATTTTAAACACAATGCTCGCTTTATTCGGTTATGTTATTGTTTATTGTTATGTCTACGCGTGCTTAAAAATGACGACACTAAAAAAAAAAAATAAAAGAAAGATAATAATAAACAAATAAATAAAAATAATTATAGTGAAAAACATACTTAAGAGATAAAATAAATTATGCAAAAATGAAAAAATTAAATCGTCGGGAATAAGCGCGTTACCTACATATTTGGACACGCGGCGCATGTTATAATGTATTGCAGAATTTACAAATATTTAAACACGTTCGGTGATTACACGACTTATATGACGCTTGTTATAATATTATAATAATATTATATTCTCTATCGGAATAATAGAATAATTGTGATAACAAAGTTAAAGGGTAACCTATACAGTTACCCCCTACAAAATATAATATAGCGAGAATGGTTGTTAATATAATTTACCGTACCCAGCTGTGTATTACCCACAACTAAACTATAAGTATAGCGCACATATGTATACAAAATATAATATAAAGGTATCCAACCATTAAAAAATAATAACATTCATTAGTATTAAATATTGTTTTAATATAACACATCAGTGGATAATAGTACAATTCATAAACATTGAATCCGTAATGATATATTATTCGGGCTGTACAGCGTCACAAGTAAGTCACATTCTTCAAAGGCACGTCAATGCTGCCATGACGTGTAGTTGTTATGTACAGATTGTATATTATTATAAATCATAATATTAAACTTGCCTGCAAGATGTCGGCACGTGCGTGACTGAGCACAAGCTAAAATGTCGATTGTACATATTTTATTTACGAACTTATTAATGTATACACCAACTAGTGATGTAAAAAAAAAAAAAACAATATGCATAATATATAATAAATTGTTTGTATTATACTTTAAATAACCTTGTGCCATACGACATTATCGTGTGTATTAAATTATAAAGTATTATTAATAGGTATTTATTGTAGTAAACTGAAGTATTACATACACAATGTACATATGATAGATTGAGATATTATTAAAAATTCCTTTATTTTGATAATTACCTAAATTAAATTCATATTACTCATTCAAATACAAATGTATTAATATTTAACAACTATAAAAAAGGGAGTTTTATGTTTTGTGAATGTTTAGATGGGTTGTAATTTCAATTTAACAAGAAATAAAAATAATTTAATGGTTTTTAATTAACCTAAATTAAAGAAAAATATTAATAATTTAAAATAAATTTTAATGATCTAATTTTAGCAAGAATAAATTATAATAGGCACCTATTTGTGTGTGTTTTTTTTTTATAAAATAATTCTACATAACATGTAAAATATACCATCTGATAGTAATGCATTATATCGATCACAAATACCAATAATTTAATATCTGTGTATAATGTTATGTATTGTATACGAGTATACTGCAAAAAAATAAAAATAAAATGATTTTTTTGGCCCGATTATGGTTTTAAATTAGTGTATTGATACCAGAAATTTAATATTTCACAATCTATATTTTAATGTAATATTTAATGCATTTTTTATTACATTATAATATAATTAAGATAGTAATATTCATATTTTTACATCCAATTTACATTATAAAACTGTCACTAATTACAATTTATTTTCGTCCCTAGATCATCGATTATCGAAATTAATGAGAAATAAAATTAACTCTCCCTTCTTAGCTATAAATACAGTTTATGATCAAATGAAACAAATTTATTTAGTTTTAACATAAGGCATTAAAAATACAGTTTAAAGTCAATATTTAATATTTCCACTAAATAAGTTTAATATAAAGTATTAAAATTAGAAACAGCTTTAAAGATAAATTATAGCATATTTTGCTATAAAATGTATACATAATTTTATTAGACGATTACTTCATTTAATTTTAACCTAAAAAAATAATTCTAAAATTAAAATTTAAATAAATTTATACTTTCAAACTTGTTCCTAATATTAATTCATTACAAGTATAGTGGAATTACAGGATGATTTAGTAAAACTTTCAGCTTTACATGTGAACTTTTCAATTTATTAATTACTTAAAGAGTCAAGAAACTTTTATGGTTGTATTAATAATGAACTTGGTTGTTACTCGGTGAACATTTTTATCATAACATATTTACGCGATTCAACGTTTTATAAATAACAACATTTTAAATTGATGATTGATTTATTTTAAACAATTATAAATTAACTGTTTTTATTAATAACCCACAAAAAATATAAATAATATTAAGCTAAGTTGATCATGAAGTATAATTTGCTTAATATCAAATATAAATGATGATTGTTAAATTCAAAAAATTTAACTTAAAATTATTTTGTCTAAAATGATTAATATTACCTTAAAATAACTTATAATAAGTCACTATAAATACATAAATATATTATACTCAATACAATCTTCAACATTCTAAATTAAAATTATTATTTTTTGTAGTTTACAAAAGTATAAGGAATTAACCTATTGAAATTAAAATCGTATTGATTCGATAAAAAAATCAAGTTTTTATTGTTTTTAAAACGTGAACAAAATATAAACATTTTAATTTAAAAGCTCCCACATAATTGAATACATTTAAACAGTATTAAACTTTTATATTTGAACAGCTTTCAACTGGGATATATTCATGTGATGTATCACTCTTTGTCCAAAATACGAAAATGAATTATATTTCTTTGTATACCTCCAAGATCGAAAGTAAAAGCATTTTGTCTGATAATGGATACGCGTTCGCGCACAAGAAATAAAAGAGATGACTATTTATCTTTTATCGTACGCGGGTGTGTGTGCTTTGGAAATATAACAAAAGACCACCCCCCCCCATATATATATATATATATATATATATATTATGTACACAGAAACTGTATCCGTTTGTCCATTTATGGCCATAAACAAGAAATAGTGATTTATTATTACAAACGTATTCTCACTAGAAATAATATTGAGTATATTGACCATATCGTATCTTAGAAGACACGCAATGTGTAGCTTAGCTCCACCAACTTATGGACGGAAAAGATATATTATTAAGCTGAAAAAAAAAAAATAATGATGTCAAATATAACAATTTATTCGATGACCATTTCATGTCAAAAATAATGTCGTTTTAAAAATATATTAGCTTAGCCGCCTTACTATTACAATCGTAAAAAAAAAAATGCTTACACTATCTAAAATCTAGAAAATTAAGTTATAAATTATTGACTTTTTATTTAAGTCATCGTTATTAACTAGCTATCAGTAAAAAAAAATACTGTTTTTAAGGGGGATAACCTGGTAGAAAAACAGTATATTCGATGTGATAAGGAACATTTTTTTCTTATTTATAATTTATATGCATAATACCTATAATTATTAACAACTAATATGTTTATTATTGATCACAAGATTTAAAACTAAATAGTATGTGATTGGAAAATTCTAAGACAGCAATAAATTTTATTTGTTCGAGCTTTTGTTATTCTTAAAAAATGATTTATATCATAATAATTGCAAATTAAAGTAGGTATATAATGAAGGCCGTATTTAAAAGGGGTAACAGTGACTGTTTTCCCGTGTGGCATTTTATTTTTAAATTGATGATGTTTTCATCCTCTCCTAACTATATTCACTTTTTTCACGCAGTTAATATTACATTTTTATATTTTTAAATTTGTTATCATCATATAATATTACTATTATCATTAACAAAAATGCCTTAGTCATATTAACCACCAAAAGTAATTTAATTTCCCCATCATAAATTATGATATTATAATTGAGGATTTTTTGTTTTTTTGGTCAACACAGGAAAAAAATTTAAATCTTATATTTGTCATTATTTTAAGATATATAAGATTATTATAAAAATTAATCTATATATTTTTTTCTATAACTGTATGGTTATTTTTGTTGTCTCTGAGTAGTTAATTCTTAAATACACCAATGTAGATAACGATGATCGCATGTCTTGAATTTATCAAGTATTGAATCAATTTAAACAATAGTCGATTAAAAAGTATAAAAATATTAGATTATTAATAATAATTTTCATTCACATATAATATAACTTATATATTTCAAGATTACATACCACATCGTACGAAAACCATCGGGAATTCCAGTAGTTATTTTCAATTATTGACAAATAGATATACCCATTTTTAAATAAATGCTTACATAATACATAGTATTACACATTCTAAAAATATTTTCTTTCAGAGCGTGTATGCAATATTTATATCATATGTGTGTATATTGTTTTAGATGTAACGTGAGCGAGAACGAAACAAGACAACGCGGAACAAAGAAGCAATACAATATAAAATAATCATTTTTTAAAAAAAATGGAGGAAACCAAATGCTTTCAGATACGTACTCGCCAAAAATCATTTTATTATGCTAGCGTCATGATGTATTTGATTTATGCACAACTGATGATATCCATTGATTCTGCGGCCCTTGGTTCGTATTCAAAATTACATTACGTTTAATACAAACATTTAATCTATGGTTTACGGTACATATTATGCAAATTTCATCGTGTATAATAAATACTACTCATACGCACATGTACTGCAATGTGGTACTCGTGTCAGTGCACCATATAGGTAACATATAATCATAATAATATTATATAATATGAGGTCGAATAATAATTATCATCATTAATCCCACACACGTTCTACTGGTTATTTATAGGATGTATTATTTTACGAGTTTTCATAATATGCATGCAATAGTTTTAAACATTTCGTCAGTAAAACATAGCCACACACACACACACACACACACACACACACACACACACATCAACGTTTTACAAAGTGTTTATTTATCTCATAGTAAAATAGAGTCTAATTTTACAAAACAAATGTTAAATTCATAAACAAATCTCATTAGAAAAGTACAAGATAAACGCACGAATAACAATTTAAATATTAAAAAATGATAATAATTTTCTATAATAGAATAGTTAGGTATATTGTTAAATTTGAAAATAACATATTTAAAAATTGTATAGCTTATTTATTTTATTATTTATTTATTTTTTTGTTAATAATTTGTGAACATTTTATCTCTCATGAAGGATTATTATTTTCCAAATTGTAGGAAAATAAACAAAATTGATTTTGCTGTGAGAAAAAAGAATGTATTGTAAATATTGCTTTTTTTTGTATTTTCTCATATGGTTACAACGAGTATATAGTCTCGGATTTTCGGTTAACTTGTTAAAAAAACTACTGAGAAATTACTTCTCAAAAAACTAAAGAACCATCTATGTTCAATTTTCAATTTATTGATTGGACTACATAAACTTTTAAAGCCGCTATACAGAAAGTGATAGCATACTTAAAAAATAAACACTTTCTTTTATAAAATCAATACATTCCTCTGCTCGTTTAGAACCTAAAATGAAGAAATATAAAATCTGCATCATCATCATTAGGTATGAACACATTCTAGAAACTAATTTTAATCTGATTTTTATATTAGAGAAGGTAAAAGATAAACATACAAATCTGAAATCAGTAATATTATTTTAACATAAAAATCTTAAAAAATCCATTGGAAAATCGTAATATACTTTACAGAGTGTGTACGTATTATTGTACTGCTATAGATGAAATTATTATGTTTGGTAGACCAAATTCTCTATTATCTAGTACGACAATAAATAATTATTTATGAGTAATGATTCAGAATGAAGTTTAGAATTTTTTTACCTGAATTTAATATATCATCTTGGAATAAATTATGAAAACATTGTCATAAAAATTAGTGTTTGTTAAAATTAAAATACCTAAGTACTTTGTGTTTTTTTTTTTTATTCAAATATAATTTAACATATCCAAGAACTTAATTTAAATTAAAAATTAATTAAAACAATTTTTTGTTTTCTTAAAATATACCATCACATTATTAAAAATCTTTGAATAAACTTTTGTAAAAGCGTTAGAGAAACTTTTAAAACACGTACTTTAAAGGAAATTCAATTTTTAAATATTCTAAAATGCTTTTAAAAGTGTCGTTAATATTCTGAAAATGAACAAAAGTTACAAAAGTTTTAGTTATTTAAAGTGTGTGAAAACAGAAAGAATTGTAAGCGACAGTTAATTTTCTAAAATATATTATTACATTCAAATTATTAAAAAAAAGCAAAAAATTTAAACTGCTGAGACTGAAAATATATTATTATTTTTTCATAGTTTACTCAAATCATATTTTATAGAGAAAACACTAAAAAAGACAATATTATGAAAAAATAAAAGTAAATAGAAAGAAGTTTAAACATTAGACGATTGTCAACGGTAATGTTTATTCAAGTGAATAATAATTTATTTCAATTTACAACCAACAAAAGAAACTAAACTAAACAAAACTTAAGAAACTCCATAACTATAACCAAAAAAATCTTTTACTTAATAGTTGAAATATATTTTATATTTTCTCATAGTTTCAGATAATAATGATATCATCTCGTCATCAGAATCAATTAGCAATAAAATACGAATACATTTTTTACATTGATAAAAAATGTAAATAATATATTTTATATATACGTAGTGGTAATGCATAATATTATCTTAAAATCATTCATCAGGATTACTAATAATACAGATTAAAAATTTTAATTGACTGTAAAGTCAATACGATATCATACGACTGTATTAAATAACTAACAAAATATTACTAGATATTGTGTAAAATATTATTATGATAATAGCTAGGTTTATTTAATATGCACATTATAATAAACACACTCGGCACTCAACTGTAAATAATATTGTTATATAGCAGCACCACTGACGAGCATTGTTGTTTTATACAATTTAAAACAAATAGATAAGAATCATATCAAAAAAAACATAGTGCATCTACTATATCTATTTATTTAATTTTATTAAATTAATTAATTAATTTTATTTAATTGGAATATAGATAAATAAAATAATAAATAATATAATAAATATAGATTTAAATAATTTAAATCTGTATACATTAATTTTTACTGACTAAAGATCAAGTATTATTATACCAAAAGCATTTATATTTATTAATAATAAATCATTATTACATGGAAATAAATATTTCTCTGACATTGAAAAATAACAATAACATTTCACTGTTATAATGCGTATGATTAATTATTTTTCGCAAATCAGTTTTTAAATTTCTTGCAAAGTATCAGATTTTTCAGAAAAATATTACTACTATTACATTTACATTACAGCATATAGGCCATGAAGAAAAAAGAAATTCTATCACATATAGTTGAATGAATAATTTAGATTTGAATGTATCCAATAAAATGAACTATGACATTTGTAACTTATAATATTTCAATAATAATATCAAATTTTTTGATTAACTAAAATTTAAATCACGCCATAAACCGTAATAGAATTATACAAGAGTGTACATAGAAATAACTGAGAAAAATAAATACGAATTAAATGTAGATACTTATTAATTGTTTAAATCAAAAAATAAGAATACTAAACATTATAAAAATATAAAATCAACAGTTTTTGAATCAGCCGGATCAAGTCACATCGGAGTGGCTTCATGTGGTTTACCCCTCCTCGGATTTTTTTTTATGTAGTCTTTGATAATATAAAACGATTTTATACATTAAATATTAGCAGTTTTCTTCCTCCTACACATGAGTTAGATTCGCCACTGAAATACATTTTGTTACATTTACGATTAACGTGAATACCTACGTTATGGTAGGTATGTTATTCGTAATATAGGACTCCGAGATAACGTTTTTTATAACCTCGCGTTCGTTTCCTGTTTACAGTGGACGCCGTGGCCAACGGAGTGGCCGTCGAGGACAAAGTGACGTTACCGTCGAGGAACGAAGCGACAAACCCGTTAAAAGAACCGACGCCCAGCACGCTGCAAGGGGCGTTCTTGAGCGGCAACCTGACTGACGTCACCAACGGCAGCACCAGCACCTCGCCGGCCGAGGCGTCCGTCACGTCCACGACCGCGGCTGCGGCCGCCGAAACGGTTTGGAACGTGCAGACGGCCGCCGTGGCCACTCTGCCGGTGGACGGTCGCAATTCGTCGGCGATGGCCATCAAATCAGAACCGGCCACCACTAGCAGACCACCGGAATCGTGGACGGACGTCGTTCAGACCAGCACCGATCAACCGTCATCGTCACAGTCGTCCGAAGAATCGGTCGGTGAGGGCGATTACGGTCGCGACCTGAACAACAAGAACCTCGTGGCCAACATGCTGAAAAGCTGGTTCAACCACAAAGACGATCCGGCCACACTGGCCGCGGCCGCCAACAAGGGATACTATACGGTGGCGACCAAATATATGATCAAGAACGGCGGGACCGAGAAGGAAAGAGGACCGGTGGCGTCTAACGGCGACGCGGAAGCGGAGCCCTCGTCCAAAGCGGTTACGGTGGCCGTCGTGGGTGGCAACAAGAGTCTGTTCGAACGGTGGGACGAGGCGAGCGAGGAACAGGAACGCGTCCTGGAGGACGCCATGCGTTCTCAGGGACCTGCGGGTGATGGCAAAGTCGGCGGAGGCGACTCGTCGGCGTCGTCGGCGTCGTCGTCCGTGTTGGCCGCCGATCAAAACACGCCCAGCCGGTGGTTCGTGTTACTGTTGTCCGGCAACTCGACCGTGGCGCAGATGCGACGCACCGACTTCGCCAAATACCTCAAGCTGAACCTCGCGGCCAGGCTGTCGCTGGAATATGACGAGGTCAAAATCAACCGCGTGTTGGTCGTCCCCCCGCGTCTCATGGTCAACGTCAGCGTGGTGCCCGTTTCCGAACGAGCCTCGTCGGCCGCGTCCGCAGCCGCCGTGGCCGCTATCGCGTCTTCCTCGTTCTCGTCCTGGTCCCCGTCAGCTTCCGACAAGACGGCGGCGGCGGCCATCTCCGATCGGGTGGTCGAGGACGATGACCCGTTGCACAACCTGGTCGAAACCAACGCCACGCTGATGGAACTTTCCGGAGAAGAATATCGGGTTAGTAGAACAGTAATAATATAATATACAACTCTAATTATTAGACTAGCAGTTTTATTCGATGCGTTCGAATCACGTCCAAAAATGATGTTTTGTCCAAGTCGCGTCTGTGGTTTACCAACGACACGTCCGAGTTGCGTCCGCGATTTTCCTTTCCACACTTTTAAGGACTGGAGACTGTAATTTTTACAAATAGTATGGTTAATATTATGAACATAGTTATAAATTATTTCGTGATTTTTTTTTTCATCGAGTCGCAAAGTTGAAATTTAAAAATATCACGTTGGTACAATGCATTTAAAAAACGATCGCAATGTTAATATAACTGATATGTTAACATGAACAAAATTAATTTCCATCGATAAATTGTTCGGCGGTACTGACAGATAGTATATCGATAATCAATTAGACTGGACTGAGACAAATATTTACTAATCTACTCGTGTCACCGAACAAAAATGAATGTAATAACGATTCTTGCTGACACAACTCGGAATTATCGCAGACAAACTGAGGACGCTACTCGAACGTGTTGTACGAAAACCACGGACATAATTTGTTAGCCGCGACTATATTTTTCGTTTTAGGTATGCAATTCGTATGCAGCCTAGTTATTTAATGATGATGCATTTTAAGAATATTCTTTAAATTTTATTAAACACTGTATCACACTATAAATTACACGGTGTGATCGGATATTCTTTATTTCAGTAAACGCACTATCGTTTTTGAAAATATTTCTTTTGCGTAATTTTAAGTTGTTATTACAATACACGATTTTTAGAAAATAAAAACAAAATTTAGTCGGTTATAATTTTTTAAGTTTTAACTCTTTTGGATGAGAATATACATTTTTAATTCCTTATCCCAAATCAGAATATTTTTTGGAGTTCTTTAATATAAATATATATTATATATCATATTTCAGACAAATACTTACAACTTACTAGCTACTTTTCGAAGAATTTCAAAAATTATTCTGTTTGGGATAAAGCATTGAAAACGTATATTGTCACTAAAATAAAGTTAAACGGTTAAAAAAAATGATAACGAAAAAAAAATAATTGTTTTTCAATAACTTCAAAGTTATTTAAATTTTTTATTATCTTCTCCCACAAAAAAAAAAAAAAAATAATAGTAAATTTTATAAATTTTAGATCATATAGTAGAATATTTAAATATGTCATACAGTAGAAATGTCATCAACCAGGATTGTACCATATGTAGGAAACTATTTACAGTAAGTAATAAATACGTACAATTCAATTTAATGCGGTTTTTCCATAATCAAATTCAAAATATAATAACTATTATTGTCTTATTTTCCGACAGCCATTGCGCGCTACCGTGAATATGAGTTAATATAAGTATAATGTATAAATGATTACGAAGATCGTTAATGCTAACTGCACTAAAAATATTTTCCGCAAGAGTGGTCAATGATATATTATTATTTGAAATACAGCTTTATGTTTGTATCGAAACGCTTATAGAGTTAAAAAAAAATATTTAAAGTACCTTTCATTAAATATAATATATGCATTTTAATGTAAACGATATAGTATTTCAGATTAACATAGAATTACAAGCACGAAAAGTTTGAAATAATTTGAATTTATAGTAAATTGTTCTCATTAATGTCTTGATTTATTTTCCCATCATTGATTTCTAATATATTAAAAATAATCAAGCAACACTTTTTAATGCTGAGTTATACATCCCGTCTTTCTCATTACCTCCGATAGTGTGTGTAGTCTTAAAAAACCATATCAATCAAAGGACAAAACAGGAATTTTTATTACTTATCATTAATATAGTTTGTGAAATTGGTTTATACAAGTCAACGCGTGAATAATTTATCAGCATAATGATTGGTTTTATAATAAGGTACCTACGCCCATTAGAAAAACTTCCCGCGCGACTACACCAAATGTGCCCAACGTAAATTGATTATGTACCTATTACTGTATAGTTAGCCATTAGGTATTCATATTCATTATTATTTTTATTGTCAGTTTCACTTGAAATATCATTACACGTCTGAATTTAATTTTAATGTAAATCAATAATGATTTTGCCGTCACAATTAAAAAAGTTAACAGCGATCACATACAATTATTTGCATCGTCGAATATTTTGCAGCCGAATGCCATTAACGTCTCGCAATACTTATACAAAGTTTAAGTAAATCTATAAAATTAGCTACTAAAATTGTTTTTAATTTAAATTATGAGTAAGTACTCGTTGTGTAGTAATATATAATATATAATATATAAATATATTAAATAATACGTTGGCATATTATAAACATTATATTAGACTGCGTTTACAGCACTACACCTGTACCAATTATATGATTACATTCGATTTACAAACAAAACTGATTAACATCATAAAACTATTTTTACGGTATCCCGAAATTGTATCGATTTTATTTTTTACATGTGTACCAATAATCTTCTAGTAGGTAATGCACTTTACCATTGGCTAATTACTGTACCGAATTAAAGTCTGCCGCCGACTCGAAAATGCGGTTAATAATATATAAGTTATGTGTGCGTTTGGTTAAACGACTCGGTGTAGTCTTTCTGATCAATACTGCTTGTGTACGGCATCGCTCTGTCTAACATAGTTATTTTTAATAACAATAATAATAAAAAATTGACATTTCTAGACAAATATTATGATTCAACGACACACGTTAAATCCCATTATCTTATAATTTCAAACATTTTGTAGGTTAATTTGATAATTCAATGGTTTAAAATGTTTAAATATTTCACTTGAAATTCAGACTTTATACAACAATAACAACAACAAAAAAACTGGCGTTTACGCATTAAATGTTCTTAGTATTTAATGACGACGTTCAAACTATTACAATAAGCCTAAAATTAAACTGTGTACAAAATTAATATTATGTAAGCATGTGTCATACGCAAATACGTTATTTACGTATTTTATCGGTGTGCAATATAGATCCATAATATTTTGCTAGCCGAGTGTTCAAAAACAAAAATACACTTCGTAATCCGTTTATCGAGTTTCTAATTAAAAAATAAAATCCTAACTATACAATAAATATCCCCAGTGCAGGCCGTATATTAAAACATAATTTATGTGCATTTACGTGCATAGGTAAATAAATAATACTTATAAATAATTTATGTGTATTTAAATTATCGCGTAACAACTATGACAAGCTAGTAGCTACGTATGATACGTATGATCAGTGCCGAGACCAGGGGAACAAGTGGTGCAACGGTCGTTCTATGACATACGTATATATAGATACCTACTGTACACACACGAGTATTCGTGTGATGTTTAAAAGAGACTAGAATTTGTCGAATGCTTTATTCATTTATATACAAAATACATATATATATATAAATCGTGCGTATATACATATTATATATACCTACGTCCTCGTCCGACAAATTAATGCTCTCGCAGAGTTATTTGAAATCAACCGACGCGGGCAACCTACTTTACAAAACGGTCCATCTCCACCCTTAATGTGGAAACGCATTATTTTGTCGTGTCACTGGCGCCCGCCATACCGGGATCATACTTCATGTCACTGGCACTGATGTTGCTGACAAAAACAAGAGGACCATAGTTAGTTAAAGAGAGAGAGTGAGAAAGAGAGAGAAGAGAGAGAGAGTGATTGAAAAACGGAGAGAGATAGACGGCAAATTGATGTAAAGACCGCCACCATGCCGCTGCTAATGCGTACCGAGCGTGTGCTTGATGGAAATCGAATAAGAAGAACTGCTGCAGTGGGACACGACAAAAGCTTCATGGCAAAATCATTTATTCTATTATCGTTAATTTTTTTTCCCCTCACGCTGACGACAATATTAATAATAATATACAGGATAATTTCCCTAACATGTCTTTTCCCGTTTTTTCTCTCAAAGATGAATTTATTCGAAATCTAATTTTTGGAATTTGTATATGCTTTAAATACCTATTGGAGATATATTTTCACTTGCTTAGTTTTTTATTATATTTATAATGTGTACTCAAAATACATTGAATTTTAGGCTGTTAAACTCGAATAAATTATTCATAACATATTCAAGTCGCGGGGGTTCGGTGTTTTATAGAGACGTGGTATAAACACGATTTGTATCGTTTAAACTCTAAATTCTAAAGGTTGCAAGTTGCAATAATTCGTTAAAATATGATTTCGTAAATATATAGTATAAGTATATTGAACAAATATAATGTTATTCAATCAAATATTTTATTATTCATGTATTGTAAACCGAGAGTAAAAATAATTTTCATTAATAAAATTTCTAAACGACAAACGATTTTCAGTCAACCAAAATAATTTTATATTAAAAAGCGTTTTCGTGTTAATATTATTACCCTAATCGTAGATGGCTGGATATTCGTGTTAATCTTAATTCCATTTATAAAATACACGATTTCCATTCGCAGAATATTCGTCTTAATAAATAAAACCATGCAAATTGCATTCGCTGAGAAAGATATTAGATTAATTTATAAAAGCACCTATATATACTTTTGCTGACAAATTATAATATTGTGATGTAAAATAATTAAATTTGTTAAACAGAAGTTCTTGTACAAAATAAAACCCTGCCGGATATTAAAAAATAAAGTTGATCGACATTAAAAATTTAAATTCTTACGATTATGTAATTGTCTCAAATTAAATATTATAATACATTTAAATTTTTTAAATATTCAGATGAATTGCAGTAATATTATTATCGGTATCATATAATAGTTGATTGATAAAATTGGTCTTCTATTTTGAATCGGCATGTATCAAATAACGATATTAATACAATTCCAAATAACTCTCTATTAGTAGCTACGATACGCTTATCGTAGCTTTACTCTATAGTAAATAAATGTAATATGTACCTACTTTTATAAAATGTTTACAGCTGATTTAAATATTTCTAAGAATCAACAATAGGTATTTCTGTAATATTACCGGCATGACGTTAAAAAGATTATATTAAAATTTATAAATGGTATTTTTTTAGTCTGTTGAAAATGCTTGTACAAGGCGATTGTAATGTTATCTATTATCCCTACCTCTATAGGTCCATACTCCATACAAATATACTTTCAATAGTGAACCAGAAGTATAATACTTGGATTTAATTAACAATTCAAAATTAAATCTTATGAACGTGCACGTAAATAATATAAAAATTAAACATTTTTAAACAAAAAAATAAATAAATAAATAAACTTTCTTAGGCTTTTATTATTTAAACAAAAACAAAAAAGGAAATCTTTGAAAAAAAACATTGAGTTAAACATTTTACAAATCCCATGATTAAACAATACCTATTTTCAATTTAAACATAGATCATTAATGGACGGTTTACGCTTAAGTGTACTACACTTTATAAAATACGGTACATTATACAAAGAACTGCAGTTATTTTATGTAATAAATTATAAATATGCGGCGACGGTGTGAAAGATTAAATTGTGCATTATACATTACTATGATTTTTTCGAATATCGACTTGATAGTAGGTAGGTACCTACGTGATGAGAAAATAAATAAAATTCCTACTCGGACTTGAATATGAATTAGGCCCCTATAACTCATATAAAATATTATACCTTGGACAAAACAGAAAGCAAATCGTTTATATTATCTATTTTCCCCAAAATCATAAGATGTTTATAGACTGTATCAGTAGATGATTCTGAGTTCACAAAAATAGTATATATATTAACTTTTTCTTTTCTTTTTTTTTTTATTGTTAAGGGAAATCACTGACATTGACTTTTAATTATAAATGTCTTTTCGAGCTTTTTTTTTTATCGGACAATTTTGTTGACAATTATAAAAACGGCTTGGTGGTCGTACGTCACGTACGCTTAACCTGTCGAGGGATGTGCCTGACATATCAAATAGAGCTCAAAATATTATAACTGTACATAATACGTACATTATAATCATATTAATAAAATCGTCCGCGTTGTATTCTCAACAACACGGCGCGACGATGACATTAATAAAGGTTGTTTCTTCTTTATTTTTCGGTGCTTCCTGCAGGTGGAGAGATTCATGTCGCTGAAATCGCAAAAGCCGCAATCGCTGGAGGAGGCGACGGCCGTGGTGAGTGACCGGCACGCGGACATCGACTTCTTCATATACGCGACGGTGGGCCCGCTGTGCTTCGTCGTCGTGCTCGGGTTCTTGTTGTTGACGCTGTACAAATACGTGCGCAAGCATCCGGTCCAGTGGCCGTGGACGCGCAAGTTCCGGCACCCGTCGTCGTTCTGGCCGGGCGGCGGCGAACACCAGCACCGCCACCGCCGGATGACGGACGACTGCGGCGGCAGCGGGTGCGACTTTGGGGGGGCGTCGTCGTCGGCCGACGACCAGTCGCCCGGCTGCGGTTCGGTGAACGTCATCTACTCGGGCGAGTTCGAGCAGAGCCAACAGCAGCAGCTGTCCGGTTCGTGGTTGGACGACGCCAGCTTCGTGCCCGACGACAGCCTGGACAGGATACGCACGCCCACGCTGCGGCGGACGGTGCCGCCCAAGAACAAGACGTTCACGGACATGCTGCAGCAGTGCGGCGGCGTGGACGGCGACGGAGCCGGTGTCGCGGGCGTGGACGGTGGCCGCGGCCCACACGCGCACCGTCACCGATCGCCGCGCGACGTACAGTGCGCGGCCGCCGTGCACCACGCGCAGAGTCCGCGTCTCAGCCGGGACAACAAGCTGCGCATATTGGGATGCAAACAGTCGTGTCTGTTGCTGCCCGCCGTACAACCGGTGGCCGCGGACAACGCGACGGTCGCGACGACGGCGGTGGCCACGTCGCCGACATCGTTGTCGCCGGCGTCGTCGCCGTCCCGGCAGCCCTGAGCGCGTACACTCCTCTCCCCTCGTCCTTGCCCCCCGTTCTCCCATTCCCACCCCCCCGATAATACAGCGATAGGAGCGACATCAGAAATATTACGACACGCGTGTGTGCTGCACCGCGTTCTTGTGGAACGTCGGTCGGACGAGCGATAGATAACCGAGACGGACACGGTGGGCTGTGGTGAATTAGTATACTATCTTTTTTACACGTTCTCTCACTGTCCCTCTCTGTGCCGCTGTCGCCGCTGCCTTTTATCAAAAACAAAAAAAAATGTACTAAAAAAATTATTATAATAATATGTTTATTAAAAACGTATACATTGAAAAAATAAAAAAGGTTAGATGTTAGCCGTTTTTAATTCTTAAACACACACACACACACACACACACACACACACACACACACACACACA